TATTGGCGTTTTGGAAGTTGTAAGCACTTTAACAATGAGTCAGTACGTTTTTTTTTTGTGAGGGGAAAATCATCGACTTCTCCCGCCCAGGGCCGGGCGAGAGGGAGTGTCAGACTCTTACTGACTAAAAACCCCCCTGTTCCTTCTTCTGCTCTGGGCCGAGGTCGCGGTGCCTCATTGCGCTTAGCCCGCAACCCCGGCTGAACATCAGCCCTATAGGGCCCCGTCTGTGGTGGTCTATTGGCTCTTTGAGGCGCGCGCAGAACGCTACGCGCCATACGCTCGGGCCTGGTTCTGGTCGGGCGGCGAGCTGCCCTGACTCGCCGACCGCAGACCCGCGCTTACGGTGGCCGGAGATCATCTCTAGTACGTTAAGGGTTTGGTAATAGGTCTAGTAATTAAGGGCTGATTTTTCAATGGTTACATAAAAGTTATCGAAGGAATAATTAGACAGCAACAACTTTATTCCTCAGATAACATTTATCAATTATCTCCCCGCCTTTGTCCAACATTGGGACATTATAGGCTAGTAAAAAAAAACAGCTCAAGGAAAATGCTCTGTTCATCTTGTTGGTAATTAAATCAACTAGTCACCCTGACACATGTGGTTGTTAAGGTTCTGTGAACCAACGCACGCGACGAGGGTCGCATTATTATAACCGCACACGTAAAAATTAAGATAAACAGAAAAGACCGAAAGAAGACCACTCAACACAATACATGTCACCTGGGTTCCATCGAAATTTTCTAAGCCTCAAAAGGCCCCGACTCAATATTTTAATGTATTTACTTAACTTAAGGTTGCGTTGTCCATGGGCATGGCCGATTGCTTACTATCAGGTATCACCACACCACACCACCATAGGATCCGCAGTGCCGGCTAGTTTGCCGACCAATCCCATAAAATTCTAGGCGAAATGAGGATAGGTAGCAAAACGTCTAGGTACTAAAAGTGGAATGAACCTTGCTCACTTGCGTTTAAAAGTTTTTGGTGGCCCCGACGGTGGGCCCATGGCAGGCCTTCTAGTTGATCCAGACATTACATCATCATTATTGAATTGATACTTTGGTGCTTTATTCGATGTTGATGTAACTTTCGGAGCGCTGAACGGGTGTAGCGGTACCAACAAACTCGATCCTCGGATGCCTGGGAAATTGGAAAAGATTACCTATAGATTACCTACAGATCACGAGTTTATTTTGATTTTTTACTTTTAGTTCACACCACAAAACGAACAAGAAGATTAAATACAAACCCAGCGATGAATCTTTTCTAATAAAATCGTTGTTAAATTTTGATTTTATTTTAGGTTTTGCTCGTTTTTCTCGTGGTACGACATTCATTTTATTGTAACTTATTCTTACTATAAAATAATACGAAAGAAACTGTAAAAAAACTTAAACCCATCGAGCTTCAACAAAGTCATTTGTAGTTTATGATTTTTCCCGCCATTATGTTAATGTGATGATGTGACAAATCATTCCAATTTCCAAACCATACCTTTGTACATTCCAATTTCCAAACCAGTACCTAGGTGCCCAAAAAAAAATTCAAGCGTATTTGAAATGATATTTTTGGAAAATTGATTGTATTTAAAACACAACACATAATAAATATATTTAATTATAGACACCAAAATTAAGGTTATTCTTAATCTGATTAATATTTAGAACTAAATTATGTGTTCATATTTTAATTTATCAACCAGTTTTTGATTGTTTGTTCTGTTGACAACGTTCGTCTTGACAAATGGCAGGTCATGTCCGGGCCCGGCTGTCAGCGCGTAAACGTCAAAATATTTTTTCGTTTGGTTGGTGCGTAATTTAAATTTCAGATTTAAACTTTAAACTATGCATAAACCATTTTTGTCGCTTTCAAGACGAACAAGCATCACACAAAATTCATTACCAATTTTATTTTTAGAGAAATGTAATCATATCTGTAATCATGCTTTTGATAACCTTGATCTAGGCACTTTAACTGTATCATCTATTTTCGCAAACAAAAAACAATTTATGACTCATAACTAATAAAATACGACTGTACTTCAAAGAGGAAACCTTTGAGACCAATCTAGAAGCTTACCTACCGATGTAAGTATGACTTGCCATTTAGAATTTATTGACCTTCAGTAGGAAGGTCATTCCATAGCATGTTGTTATCGTAGTAACCATAATCGGTCGATGTTTCTTGTGTGACAATATATCTATATAATATATAACAGGTAATTTATCATAGATTTGCAATAGAGAAGGTGTGTGGGGCAGACTGGTTCTTGTAAAGTGTTTATTGCAGTTTAATTGTAGTGTATCTTAGAGGACTAAAGTAAGTAAGTACCAGTAGTAATAAATCACTGATTTATTAACATACTTTTAATTTTTGCGGAAAGCTATAATTAATAACCATTTATGTTGTGATATTGGACACTACTAAATAAAATGGATATAGTGAATTCAACAAAATAAATATTAACCTGACTGATCCATGCTTTAATAAAATTTAATTCTTTGCTATCAGTTTACCAGGTATTGATTTATTTTCAGTCAACATGTGAGTTACATTCTTTTAGTAAATATCACCGATAAAGCAATCTCACGGAACCCCAGGTGTGTGCATAGTTTACCATCACTTATTATATATATTGTTAGAGTCAAACATTTTTTTATGTATTGTTTAACTAAGCACCATTTTGTGTATAGCGCTTATTGCAGTTTCAGTTTCAGTTAAAAACCGGTATGATCTGGTTAGATTAGCTGAGCTGATGATGCATTTGAAATTTATTAACTCCTTAATGACAATAACATTTAATTAATTTATGACTCATAACTAATAAAATACGACTGTACTTCAAAGAGGAAACCTTTGAGACCAATCTAGAAGCTTACCTACCGATGTAAGTATGACTTGCCATTTAGAATTTATTGACCTTCAGTAGGAAGGTCATTCCATAGCATGTTGTTATCGTAGTAACCATAATCGGTCGATGTTTCTTGTGTGACAATATATCTATATAATATATAACAGGTAATTTATCATAGATTTGCAATAGAGAAGGTGTGTGGGGCAGACTGGTTCTTGTAAAGTGTTTATTGCAGTTTAATTGTAGTGTATCTTAGAGGACTAAAGTAAGTAAGTACCAGTAGTAATAAATCACTGATTTATTAACATACTTTTAATTTTTGCGGAAAGCTATAATTAATAACCATTTATGTTGTGATATTGGACACTACTAAATAAAATGGATATAGTGAATTCAACAAAATAAATATTAACCTGACTGATCCATGCTTTAATAAAATTTAATTCTTTGCTATCAGTTTACCAGGTATTGATTTATTTTCAGTCAACATGTGAGTTACATTCTTTTAGTAAATATCACCGATAAAGCACGGAACCCCAGGTGTGTGCATAGTTTACCATCACTTATTATATATATTGTTAGAGTCAAACATTTTTTTATGTATTGTTTAACTAAGCACCATTTTGTGTATAGCGCTTATTGCAGTTTCAGTTTCAGTTAAAAACCGGTATGATCTGGTTAGATTAGCTGAGCTGATGATGCATTTGAAATTTATTAACTCCTTAATGACAATAACATTTAGATAAAATCATTTGACATTGTTTTGTTGATTGTAATAATATCTTGAATGATAATATTTTATATCACAAAGCTACAGTGGAAATGTTGATGACCCATTATCAAAAAGTAAATTTCCTAGTTTGTTTACAAATTCTTAGACATTTTTTTATTATGACAGAAAAAAAAAACAATAATATTTTTATTTATTCCGTCACACAGTAAAAGAGGTTTAATCACTAATACTCTTGCTTACATAATTGGAAAAAAGTACTTATATTAACCTATCTAGAATAAATATTTGTTCATTGGGTTACTACTGGTAAACTCCTAACTAATAAATAGGATCTATTTCAAGACATATATGGTACGTAAGAAGATTCAAAATTACATGTGGTCTTACTTATCATATTTAAGTTCAATAATTTATGTTATCAATGAGCAATATAAATAGTCATGCGCTGAAGGCGTGTGAGACACAAGATAATTATTGTGATAACCTTGTGAGTAAATGTTGGAAATAATAACAATAATCAGGTAAAATAAAAAATAATATTAATTGCTAATTAAATATTTCTTGTAGACTTACAGGTGGTTGTACCCTAGGTATTTATAATTAAGATATTTTGGGTATTTATCAATAATTGTTTTAATAAAACAATAAATAAGTTACTAGATGGCACTCTTTACTGAGTATTAGACATTATTCAGAATTATTAGTTCCACAATAATTATGTTATAAGATTCAGTAACTAACTTTGTACTAAGCAGTACAATTTATTACTAGTTCTAAGTATAGAGAACTAAAAATTAAAATAATTTAAACAACATGATATTATGGGGAAATACAAGATTTAGTTGCTAGGTCAGGTACCAAATTATGTCTGGGAATGTCTATCTTAATGTCAATAAGTCTGCGTAACAAGTGCCACTTGTATGTGATAACACTAGACACACCCACTACGCGTCACTAAAAGTACCACGCCGCGTCATAACAAAGTACCACTTTATAAGACTGAATCAAGAAGTACCACACAAGAGCAGGTCAAGATTTTGATATGATATTTTTGTGTCTGTATTTTTAAATGATAATAAATGAATGGCACATTATTTATTTTCATAAAAATAAATATTTTAATGTTATTCCTATATGCTTACTAATTCAAATATAATTTAGTACACTTAAATTGAAAAAACCTATGCAGATTTTATGATACCTAAAAAACATTTTCTGTAAAAACTCCATTTAGTAATTCTATGAAGTGGAATCATTCCATTCATTACATAAAAATAATATACATAAAGGTTGATTTTCTTTATTTTATGTCTTATAAATTATGTCTCCTTCTTTCAGATGTAAATATTTATTTGATATTATCTTTTACGCATTCGAATTTCCTTTGTATTTTTAGTTTGGTGTAAATAACAGAATATTTTTTTATCATCAAAGTTTATCGCTTTTGCACTCGACGCAATTTGCAAAACAAGTGGTTCCACAAAATCTTCCATACTCTTCTATTGCGCAAGAGCGAGACAGCTATCGTTCCGTGGTTGCTTTTCGAATCGGATATCTCGTCTGGCCGTATGTCTTTGAACGAAGACAGTGTTGTGACGTCGTTAATAGTACGTAGCTCTCAGATGGTAGTGCTGTAGCTCGCCTTACAGTTTATCTCGGGGAGTCTTGTGGATATAAGTCGATAAACGCGTCAATTGTGCCGTATTCGGTGATATCACATTCGACGGAGGCGTGTTCTCGGTGTATCCCGACAAGTGGGTCTTATTGCTCTATTAACCTTTAACGGAAGATAAGTAAATAAGGATCGATAGAAATCGATACTAGTGCATCAGCTCATTGTAATTTTGTTAAAAAAGTAAAAGAAGACAAAGAAGATGGCCCTCTACAGGTAGATTTTTTTAAAACGGGTTTTATGCATGCGCATGAGTTGAAATAACTGCTGGTAATTTTCTTTACCCGACGTTTTTTTTTAAAATTTTGTAATTAACATTTTAAGTCCAAAATTAATACTAGTCTTGAAGACCCTACATTAAATTTATATCATATAAAATTGAAAACATTTTTGTACTAAATAAAATAACGTAAGTGATTATTTGTTTAATTAACTCGCTTGTTTTTCTGCTCGGTGTCATACGATGGGCATAATAAATAACCGTTTCTTAGGATAACTATCTAACACTCCGTTTCTAAAAATATTTGTGTAATTTATACATGCCATTTTAAGTTTACGTACGAGTACGGTAATATAATATGTTTCGTAATGTTAAATATTTTTCGGTTTGTGGAAAAAAATCTAATAAATAAATCCTCGTATTTTGGTTTGTTTAAATAAATCGGTGCACATTTATGTAGGTTTTTGCTTTTATAGAAATTTCCAACAATAATAATAAGTTTTTTATTTGACGATACAATAAAACGCTAGTAGGTCGGCAACCGCAGTTTGCACTCGATCGTACCATTGCATGATACTCGTATCAGATGGTGACCTGTTTTTGTGGTTTCCAGTGTATAAAAGCAAATTAATTAGGAAATAATGAATTACTTCAACACGTGTTGCGTAAACTGTTTTATTTTGTTAACACTGTTGTGTAGTTTTGGCTACGGGACGAGGTACAGTACCTGTGTTTGTATTAAAAACATATAATAATATTTAAATTAATAAAGAAAAAATAATACACATAAATTAGATTTTTTTAATACCTATTTGATTTTTTTGTTATATACAAGAAACAATCATATTCATATGCCAAGCAACTGTTTATTATTTTTGTAAAAAGAATCGGTTCATTATTTACAACGAAACCAATGTATAAAATTATTGGATTTGGAATACTAATTATTTTCCCAAAGTTACCACTCAAGTAGATATTGTGTTTTAATTATGGCGTTTCTTACCATCCTTGTAGGTAATCAGCTATAACTAACACACGACACATCACTTGAAAAAGAACCACTAATTCCTTCCATTTTGCACTCGACTAAACTTCATCTTAGCACGGTCGACCGTGCGCAACTTTGTTATTGAACTTCACCTTTTTGATAAAATTAGAATTGTCAATTATCTCATGACAACATCATGTGATGACAAGAAAACAAACAATATTCGTAAACATTAGGATAGATGTTTTTACGCTCAAACCTTGTGTACGCAAATATTTCGTGCGCAAAGTTTCTATATAAGGAACCGAATGTTGGGAAGGTGTTTCATAGTGTTTTGTGCGCCTTTCATGGTGGGACTTATTGGATGGTGATTGGATTTTATTGATGAAACTACCAACTACCAGTAGCTAGTCTGTTCGTTCTAAGTTTCTATCGGAGTAGTAAAGCATCATCAAATAGCTGTTTCGAGACCACCAGAAAAAACTTCGAAGTACATACTACATAATTATTTAAATAATCCGCATTTGATCCACGATCCTTAGCAGTTCTCATTACCACATCCATATTCCCAAAAGCTAATAAACTTAAATTGTCAACAGCTTGAAGACCAACATCCAATACGCGACCCTGAAAACCCTGTCGCTGGTTTCCATCAGCGTGATGTCGCCCCAGCAGTCCATTAAAGACCTGTTCCGTACTGCGGACTGTGTGTGCTTCGATGTCGATTCCACCGTCATCAAAGACGAGGGCATTGACGAGCTGGCCAAGTTCTGCGGAAAGGGAGATGAAGTTAAGAGACTGTAAGTATTTTTACGTTTTTTTTAAACGGTTTTTGGATTAAATTATGCTTTATAACATTGAAAACAGCAGCAGTTGTTTTAAAACAAATCCGAATTCGTGTCGATAGAATGAAGGTTGTATAATTCTACTTCCTCATGATAAGGAGCTTGTTATTAACAGATGCAGTTTTAAATTCGCATAAACAATTGTATCGGTACCTTGAAATTGAATCGGTTCACATTCAGTATTAGTAATCACACAATTAACCTTGCCTAATCTTTTGCGTTGTTGTCGATTAACGAACCTATACCCACTTAACATAACTTTGTTATTTTCAGTGCCTAAACACATAAATAATTGTATGATAACAACAACCTATCACTAAATATTTATTTAACAGAAGACGGTGACGTTAATTAAAAGATAAGTGTCCCTTTATGGTACCTATAGTCGGGAAACCCGTGGCTGTGGCTAGGTGACTCAGCACAATCAAATAGTAATAAATGACAAATTCTATGAACTCATTAATTTTACTTCTTAATAACTGGCCATTAATTAATTTGTTCACTTTCAATAAGCAAATTCAGCCTTAGTATTCATACGAAATTAGGGCGCTGACAATCTACGCATTTCTTCGGAATGACGCGTTGGCTTCGTTTAGGAAATATTTGGGCTACGGAAAGCGTGGTATAGCATGTGCAATGACAATATGACAAGACCAATCAGCTGAGGCCGTAAACAAGTGATAGTAGGTACCTTGTAACGTCTCTGTTATCGTTCGACAATCTTTCGATAATACTTTTCAAAAATGTATCTGTTTAATTCGGTAAATTAGTTCCGCACAATTGATAATCGAGTAATAGGATTGACGCTTTGTCATAATATACATGGCAAAATAAATAATGGCAATGTTTTTTTATCTATAAAAGTTGATTATGGAAAACTTTTGGCAAAAAATAATATTTATGCTTCATTTTATTTATTTATTACAAATGTTCATTTACACAGAAGTAGGTGATTTCCAACGAATATAAGTTTGTTATGTTAGTAAATATTTAAACAATATTTTGATGACATATAATGGTCCATAATGGATTGGTTATAACTTGTAACGAGTGACATTGCACAACATACATAAATTGCCCAATATCATTAGCTGCAGGCTTGTACGAGTAAGCTTTAATGGTCCTAAATTGCAAAGCCCTCAAATACATGTGTAACATTATTTTTAAAATAGTTTCTGTTATTATTAGCAATATACTTCGTAAGTTGCCTGTAGGTCAGGTCATTGGTCTAGAGTCTAGCCGCTACTGGGTCGACGTCACGAACTTGGCTTTGTTTTCCGACAATCTATTTACATTTTTGCTAATATTTGTGTTGTTTCTTTGCTTTTGTTTATTTAACATTTATATTTTAGTCTGATAAGGCAATGTTGTGTACTCTTTATGAGATTATTTTGTTTCATAAGAAACACGTAAAAACCCAAATAATAACAAGAGAATAATAAATACTTATGTTTTTTCTTAGAACGGCGGAAGCTATGGGTGGTGGTATGACCTTCCAAGAGGCTCTTAAAAAGAGGTTGGACATCATCAGGCCCAGCGTGTCACAGATCAGAGAGTTCATAGAGACCTTCCCTATTCATCTCACACCTGGTGTAGCGTAAGTTTATACTATCTCCTTGTAATATAATATTTGATTAAGAATATTGTTTATCTCGTATAAGTAATTCGTCACGAGTAATGTCATAAATGTTGGGTAATTAGTTTCTTCTTGACAACAGATAGTTGTACCTGCCTCAAAGTATTTTGTCATTGATTCAAGATAGCACACACCCTTTGAAGTGCGATAGCAACTGATATCGTCTTTTAAAAGTGCTTAGCAACTGATAGTGTCCACTGTAACAGGCATTAGAACTATCATTTCATACTAATGTCGATTACAATAACAAATTTAATACTTTCGTCATAAAATTATGTGACCTGATAATCTTTCTGTCCCCTTGTTTGAAGTTTATTTTTAGTCCTAAATATTAAGACGATGACGCAAAAAGTAATCTTTTAAGACCTTGTTTTTGTTAACGGATATTGAATGCTTTTGGTTGCTTATTGCGTAAATTATTATCATATGATCGGGTGGTGATTGGTAAAACATATAAGAAATGACAATATGGTTTTCCTTAAAATCGCGCCATAGATCGATTTGATCTATTAAAAAAACCCTCTTTAATGAATATGATTTTAAACCGAACGAGAATTGTCAACTGCCATTCGATATTTAAAATTTTAAACGTAGAAAAAGAAATCAATAAATTATAAAATAATGATTGCAGCCGGCCAGTGTTTTCCACGTGATCCATAAAATAATAAGATCGTTTAACTGGTTCCCTCCGCTTCTGCAGCTCACGTTATCAACGATTTCCTGACCTCAATACTCTGGTTAGCCCAACACAGCTGATATTTCATGATAGTTTCGCGTGCGTAATTGACCCCTGTATTATTTGTTTATTTTTCGGTTATTTGGAGTCTATTCTGGAAACACTTATTTCGATTTTAATCTAGATCTGGTTAGAAGAAAGTGTAACGTGCTTTTCTGTATAAATTAACAAGTTTCTAGAAAGGAGGTCTTATCTCCAAGATGTTGAATGAAGAATATAAGCTTTGTTGTTTGAGATGGGAGTACCCGTTATGTACGGGTTCTTATTCAGATAAATATGTGGCCGTTACACAATAAATTGTATGACGATTATGTAACTCAAAACTTTATGTTCTTTGTATGATTATTTACATTTTATCATCCGATGAAAGACAAAAAGAAGTTTACCAAACAACCTTTTTAATTTTTAAATGTCTTGAGGTCTCATTGTGTACTTTTGCCTCAATTGGAAGTATTTCACTATTAGATGAATCACGAACATTATTTTCCGTCACTATCGGTCGATGTTTCTTTACAATTCTTTTAGATAAGGCTAAGGTTTTGATTGTCAGGTTCGTTCGGTAATATATTGTCTAATTACCCTTATTATTTCCAGGGAACTAGTGAAAGAGCTACATGAGCGAGGAGTGCAAGTATACCTGGTCTCCGGCGGGTTCCGGAGCCTCATCGAGCCAGTCGCTGAACTGCTCGGCATTCCTCTCACCAACATCTTCGCCAATAGACTCAAATTCTATTTTAATGGTGAGTTATTCAATATTTCATTAATATGAAATTCTTAGACAGTTTCCTATTCACTTGTAGGGTTCGAGAAATAAGATTCCATATTTCTGTGTTCCGAATTTAAAAACATTATATTTTAAAAATCGAACTTGTAATGTTGGCAATAAAATTCAAAGGAGGTTGTATACTCGTTACGACGACTAGTGCTTTTTAAATTTATTAAATTTTATTTGGGAAGCAAACATACCAATATTTATAATTGCATACAAATTAGATAATACGCACTCCAAAAATTACATATTAAAGCCAAATTACTATTTAGTAATTTCACCGTGACCTTTGCGCGATAGACTAACTACCTATGACTATTTCACCATTCTATAGATACGGCACACGTGTGACAGATATCAACGCGGTAGTTCTATCGAGTTATTGTCTAGTAGATAAGGTCGCCACTATCTCGGTTAAAAGTCACTCTCTCGCCATTAAACAAATTCAAAATGATGTAATTACTACACTTACGAATAGAGATATCTATTTGAATTAAGTAAGAAGTATTGTTATTAAGTCAGGGAGATTTAAGTGATTATAGCATGAAAAATTCACTACTTAGATAAAACGCAATTTATATCACACCCTCATTAAAATATTACTTTTTTAGTGAGTAGACTGTAACATGAGGCGACTGTCCAGAAAATTCTAGAATGATAAGGTCCACATGAAGCGGGACCGTGGTCAGTTCAAAGTACTGTGCACGTTAGAAACGGCTGCTGATCCATCGGCAATTAATTGGACTCATTATCACCGGTTAATAAGTATTCAAAACATTCCAATTTATTAACATTTTGTTTTGAACAATTTTGGATAAACATATTCCATTTCCAGTCTATAAAAAAAATAAAAGGAAAAGATAAAGTCACGATTAAAATGTGAAAGTAACCTTTGTTTCAATTGCAATAAAGACTTAAATCGTTGCGTTGATATTCAATAATTGTATTCCTTTTTCGAATGACGTAATAACGTGGTAGGCAGACGCGCCCCTGAATCGAAGTGGGTCAGTCCACTATCGTATCGTTGGCCACTTCATAAAACAATGTTTCAAGAACATTTACAAGTAAATATTTACTGCTTTTACTTTTTAAACTCAATACCAGATGAAGATAAAGCCTTATTTTGAAGGTTTTAAGTTGATTTTGCACAGGTATTGTAGGTAAAAAAATAAAGACTGACTCAGAACCGAGACCTTAGTAGTAGTTTTAATAAAGCCAAATAAAAAAACATTCGACCTTTATTTTCGGACCTACATCCTTTAGTTGCCTTATTTATAAAGAATATTGCTATGTCGCTTGTATGGGGGTCTGATAAGTTATTTATACTTGCAGATATCATAATATAAAAAGATAAAGACTGAAATGATTTAATATACATATGTATATTGATTATTCGTGTGTTGCTAACCACGATTTCTATAAAATAAAGACACAAGAGCATGTATTTTGATCGATTTTTTTGTCTAAGCTGTGGTTCTCTAAAACCGCTCTCAATCTTCTTATAAAGTCCAGAATATTCATAAAATCGAAACTATGGCTCGTTGGAATTGGCCAATCATATATAATAAGTGGCGAATTGAGTCAATCATTCAATTGACCATCTGTGCTTTAGTGATTCGCAACGTAACGAAATACTAGTACATATTTGTTATTCATTATTGGAACCTAATAATCGAACTTATGATACAACGCAAAGAGTGGTTTATCATATATGGAGATCTATATAGAGTCATTGACCCCGACATTATTGCTTCAAATTCCTTTAATATGTTTTATATATCTATAGTTTCTCCCAGATTGGATTTATTTCTAGGTTCAGCATGTAACTATAAAAATTATGCACCGTGTTATTATACCCACCCATAAGGTACAAAGAGTTTAATTTACCAAATTTTGAATGAAAATCTTTACAGAGTCATTGACATTATTGCTTCAAATTCCTTTAATATATATTTATAGTTTTAGATTAGGTACTCCTACGTTGAGCAAATAAAGCACGTGTAATATACCCTCGTGCATAACATAGTACAAGTATTGTAAGTACAGTTCTGCGTTGTGTTATATGTTTTCAAGAGCCGAGACATACAAACAAAGACTCTCGTGGTACACATTACGCATTAAATAAGGCAATCTTGTCACGTGCAAACCGGTAGTGCAACTTCTGCAGAATGAATCGATTTCTCGCTCTGGTAGAGGAAGCGCGTTCAAATGTACTTGAATGTTTCTTGGAAAAGAGAATAAGTACATATTAACATAGCATTAAGACTTGTATTACTGTGACTATACTAGCTTGTTCGCAACTTTCCATAATGTTAAATGTGTCACATGTTTGTGTTTTTGCTAAATCTGTTTAATGTTTTCCGAACAGATCATTTTGATCAAAACATATACGATTATCGTATCGTTTTATCTGACTTGTGTTCTAGATTGATAAATAAAATAAAAGTAGGTATTTACACACAATATTTTTGTGAGAATAAAATTTACTAAGTAATTCTTACAGAAGAAAATTCACTATCATATCTATAAGCACATTGAATCTTAGCAACAATAGGCGAATTTAATATTCATAAATTGGCTAGCGACATGTTATTGTAATTACACTATCATAAGGACAGTAAGAAAAACATTGATAATATCGCGAAAATTTTCCTATTTGTAAGAAATAGGAAAAAACAAAAGATAATAATCAGCTGATATGGATTAATTAACCTTCCGATGGCAGGGGGTACTTATCTTTATTGCTTACTGTCACTAAACACTCTTGCGCAACATTCCTAGCTATTGAGCACGTATTAACCTTAGTTGTATTAATGGACAATTTATTGGGTGCGAGGCTCCATATATCATCATTGGAAAATACAAGAAAAATAATTGCGTTACTAATCCTACGTAAAGTCCCTCTATTTTTCCCAGAACACATATTTTCTTTAAGGATAAACAGCGGGAAAATCGTATCCCTACTTCAGTAAGCGTTGTTTTTTTCTTGCACACTAAATGCTAATGATAACAATTGTTTATCACAGTGCTATGATTCGGTGCTGTTGTTATTGTCGTCAGACCCCTTGCAGAGCGCGTGATACAATTATTATTTACAATATTATTGTAATAATCAATATAACATTTACTGACGTAATTGTTACCAACCTCGCTCCAGCAAGGAGTCATTAGTGTCATCGCCATATCTAACAGATAATATTTAATAACTTTACTTTTTAATACCAACAGTATTTGTGAATAAATGTCACCATCCTTATCCTGTTCATATTATAAACGCGAAAGTCTGTAAGTAAGGAGTCGCAAACTGTCATGAACGTGTGTGAACTTTTCACGATAAAACTACTGAACAGATCTGACTGAAATTTGGTACAGAGATAGATTAGTCTACTTTTTATTGATACTGGTACCGCAGGCCAAACAGCTTGAAGAAACTAGCCCGAGAACATGGAGTAGAAAGGTTTGGCTTTATTAAGAACTGCATTGTAGCACCGCTGAAGCAAACATATTGTCTTGTACACTGCTTATTAAAAAAAGTTTGTTTAATGAACTTTGGAATTTAGAAAATAAAACCCTTCATTACCTCTACCGGGTATAAATACATCATTTGTTGATCTAGATCATGGTTTATCTGTACGTAAAATTTTATCTTGATTTCGTAAACATACTTCTTATATGCTTAGCTGAATATGTATTTTCCTAACTTAATACTTTTGTAGTAATATTTGCAAATTAAATTTTAAAGATTAGGCATATATTTTGCTATCTTAATACTGTCGCCATTTGCGGATCAATATAATATTAATATAACTGATAAAGTTTAATATTACTCAGTGTTTTTATCATTGTAAGTGATATCGCTAAAATATTTAAACAGATTTATGGAAGGCGTAGTATGGAAAAATCGTTAATCTTTGTAATCGTCAATTGCTAGCTGAGTCATGAAGAGGTGTTTTAAAGTGGTCATGTTTGACTTTTTTATAACTAACCAATAATTTTAAATTTTAAAAATGTAACTTACAGATGATGCTTTTCTTCTAAAAGCTTTAAATGCTACTAATATTTTTTGCTGCTTCTACATACAAAACTTGGAACCGTGCTCGAGGATAGCGCTTGCGAATAGGCGTCCAAGATAGTCATGAATTAATTAAAATAATAGAAGTTCAATTAAGCAGCATATTGAAATAGTCGATAACAAGGTTAATGTTAGTTCTAGATAGTTTTACCAAGACTTCTGATCTTACTTGCTCTCTGATACGGCGCACGCGCAGACCGCGTGCTTTCTGACGGGCGCGCGCGCAGTTGTTGCGTTCCGTGTTGTTTGTAGCAACTAGGGCGCTGATGACATTATGTTTTTGTAAAGATACTCCCGCTTGCGTATCTTAGCCTATTGATACGAAAATAAATCGCGTGTTATTGTTGCAAGTACTCATTATCGTTCTTATTACTTTGGTTTACTGTCATGAATGGCGGACATAGTTTGGGAGTTCTCACATGAAGTAGGAATTTATTTAATTAATGTTGAAATTCACTTAAATTCCTGAAATACCAAAATGTTGTACGCCTTTAATTGGTTTTTATGTTCTTGTGTGCCTTGAGTAGCAAATAATAGTAAGCTGACCGATTGTATCTAGTACTTATTATCATGTACATAATATCTCTGTTATCAGTTTGTTTAATGGCAATATTTATTGTATTTTTCTAAATCGACTTTGATAAACTTGCGCAATATTATTTCATATCGACATGAGGTTAGAGACATTCTGCCAATGACAATAGAATGATAACAAATTACCTATTAATTACATTTAAAATCATCCGAATGGCATTCTACTTAAAGTTGAATTCAACTGTTCATTCATTAAGACCTAATATTTACGGACACTTTCGACGCCTCATGTATGCATAAAAATAAGTTGTACGTACTCGTAGTAATAGATTAGAATATTTTTTCAAAAAGGAGGACTTACAATCACTTGAAACAAAAAACCCATTTAGACGATGCAATTTTGTTGCTCGTTGCATACAACTAATTAAACCAATTATTGACTTGCATTGTCTAAATAATACGTATGGGTGTAATGTAACCTGGTCTTATATAAATTGAATATAATTATTGCTCCCATTTGTTAAAGAAGATGGTGTCGTTAATTGGTAGCCTTTTTATCAGGAGAAAATCATTAAATGATTTCCCGTCGGCGCCGCGTGGGTTGGGAGGGAGTCTCAGTATCTAACTAACTTAAAACCCTCCCGTCCATTGCGCTTACCCCGCAAGTCCGGTATCGTTTATTATGAAACCTAAGGTTACCACTACTAGCATTATGATGACAATAATGTTTTATCATTGCATACAATTCTGACCAATGTTATTTTATTGTTATAGGTGAATACGCGGGTTTCGATGAAAACGAGCCAACTTCTCGGTCTGGTGGCAAGGGGCTGGTGGTCAGACGGCTGAAGGAGCAATACGGCTATCAAAGGCTCTTTATGATTGGTGATGGAGCCACTGACGCCGAGGCTTGCCCACCTGCTGACGGTTTCATTGGTAAGTTCAGACTCAAAAAAGGACTTTACATTGACATTTATTGTTTTTATTCATTTATTATTTTGATCAGTCATCATTATCATCAGCCTATAAGTGCCTACTGCTGAGCAAAGGCCTCTTCTCACACGGAGGTTTGAGCATTATTCACAATGCTTGCTCATTGCGGGTTGGCGATTTCAAACTTATAATTAGAAATTATAAGTCCAGGTTTCCTCAAGATATTTACCTTTACCATATGTCAGTGGTTCCTAAATAATCATAGAAAGTATATATAACTCGGAAAAAGTCACATTGGTACTTGCCTGGTTTCGAATATGCGTGAGAAGCGGTCTCCATAACCTCCGGGCCAAATCAAGCTTTTATACATCCAGAACATACTTAATACTGTAGATTAGTTTCTGATGTTTCTGATGTTATCTCCTTCCGTAATAACTTAACATAAAAATATCATGTTACAGGTTTCGGAGGCAACGTAGTTCGCGAAGAGGTCAAGAAGCGAGCTCTGTGGTACGTCACTGACTTCCAAGAGCTCATCAGCACCCTCACTCTCCAGACCAAGTGAACCAACAAGTCTTAGAACAAATTGATTGTGCGCTGAATAACGTACCTTGTTACGTTGATGTAGAGCCCAGATTGCATTCTTATATTAACAAACGTAAGATTAGGATGTAAGTGATAGGTAGTGTAATTAGTCAAAAACGACGTATTAAGAAATTCAAGTGTTAACTAGTCGAATGGTTCATTGAGAGAATATATACGAGAGGGGTTGATTAAAATATCTGGCGATATTTTGTGGGAAGTGGTATTTTGTGCTCGAAAGTCTCGTCAACATTCGGCATCGTTCGGCGATGTTCGTATTAATGAAGATTGTAAATTGAATCTTTGTATTGTTGTGATATATGATTGCCAATTTGTGCCTTATTGTTCATCGCACAGATTAGAATTTAAGGCGTATTTCGATTGTGCATTTAATTTAACAATATTGTTGTATGGTGTTGTGATTGTACTCTGAGTACACGATGAATGGTTACGCTTGAGTATTTACGGGACCTAGTCCCGTTGTTTTACTTGGTGATTTGACGTGAATATGTAGTTTTAAAGTTTTAATTTGTATTGTAGCACTCATTTGATCTGACTTGTACTTTGTGTTTCGTCGTTTCGTCCTTTAGTCGTACATAGAATGTTAATTGACGTGAACGGCTCGAAGTGGCAAGTTGTGTCAACGGAGTCAGTTTTAACATAGATAGTTAATGTATCATATGTGCTGGAAGGTACCATTGCCATTGTATTACATTGAACAGTTTTCTCATTGACAAAAGTTACACCAGACTTGCAATTGACGAAATAAGAATATCTTTTATCTTTCCTTAATTTTTGCATTAAAAACCACTATTTGGTACCTCTTTGGCTATATTTTAGTGTAAAGTTTAATTTTAATCATTATAAATATTGTTGATAGTTATTTATTTAATTAATTGCCATACTGTAAGTGATTATAATTATTCGTTTATATAAATGTTCATTTATTTAAAAACGGCTGTGTACTTCTTATGAATAGATAATAAAATTATTATTTGTAAGTTATATTTTCTTTTATTTACCTAATTTTGTTTGATACACCCGTTCGATACCCTTCTCAATTTGTCTTAGCAGAATAATAAGCACCACATCATTTAGCGTTTACGCTTTTGTATTTGCATTGCTTTGCATTCTTAAAAAAAATAGCGATTAGGTTACTGGTGGTACTGAGGGTTACTAGTCTATATCTATACTAATATTATAAAGAGGTAAAATTTGTAAGTTTGTAGGGGGAATCTTTGGAACCACTGGTCGGATTCTCAAAATTCTTTTACTTATTGATAGCTGCAATGTTCCCGGGTGCTATAGGCTACAAAACATCACGCTACAATCAAATGGAGACGAGCAGCAAGTGATACCGTGTGGGAGTAGCTAGTTCTAAATATTTTGAAAAATCGTACCCGTTGATTTGTTTGACGAGTGGTAGGTATGATTATTGTCATATTTTGGAAAATGATTTGATTATGCTGTGAATCAACGGAAAATGTAAGTGCAATGTTTTAAAAAAAGTCTAAAAGTTATTAATGGAGTTGGCTATCTATTAATAAGAAAAATACATTTTAAATCCGCCCCCGACATAAAAAAATGCAAAAACAACAAATTACAACAACACAATGTTTTGTTGAAGCACAGAAGAACTTCAGTCAGTACTTCTGAACATAATCCTGCTGTACCTAATGAGTTCTTAGATTATTGGAAATAGCTGGCGATACATTTTATACGAGTACAGTCCAACTTACTGTGAGAAAGTCTCTGCTTAACCTCTCTCGTAGTATGCCAATGCAACATTATAGGTACATATGTATCTAGTGGTATATATGTATGTTTATTTTAGGACATATTGAGATTTATTTTACAAAAATCGTAACAATAAAATTAGTAAAATAATTTACTTAAGTATGTGACTTTTAGATATGAATATGCTATCAGGCGTTTATAGAATGCGAGCAACAAATACCAAATCAACGTATTGCTATATGTTATTTGTAGGCGCTTGATGTTCGTATCGAAGATATCATATGATTAACTAACGTATTAGTGGTGTCAGCACAGTTATTGGGTATATTTCATTGTTAGAAAATAAAGATTTATTTAGTAGGTACACAGAGAGTAGTTATTAATATTGTTACTCTAATTAATGAGTTTGTAAACTGAGCCGAGCAATGAATGGCTTACTTATTGACTGTTACTGACTGACTGACTGTACGTGACTGACTAACTAAAAGACTATAAGTTAGTATCTATACCTACTACAATAGGTAATAGTAGGTTGGCGACATTTACTAAACGTATGTATGTATGTAATAAGTCTAATATTTTTTTTAAAACAGTTGAAATTATTTTTGTTAAGTGTTTGTTTATTTGATTAGAACCGTAAAGTCGAAGTATACCTAAGGTAGCACCTATATAGGTAGGTACTTTGACTTTCTAATTTCAAAGTTTTAAATTCAAAGAAAAAGTATCTTTAATGTGTCTACTTTTCAAATATTTTCTTTGATAAGAACCTTCTCCTGACAATAACAAACACAACAAAAAAAGAATTAGCGAAATTGGTCCAGGCGTGGTTGAGTTATGCGCTTACCAACACATTTTGCGATCTATTTTTATATATAAGATATATTCGAAATTGAGAAAACTGTCTACTAACTTATAATAACTTATCCCGTACTGATCTATTACAACAGAAAACACACAAGTTTTAATGGAGTTGTTTATGCCATGTGTCTTTTTCAGCCCGTTATGAGTGAAAGCGCAGCAATGTACCGCGGCCCTGAACCGGAGCAGAAGTAGGACCGGGGTGGTTTTTAGTCAGGAAAATTCTGACTAACCCAGGGCGGATGACGAAATTTAATGATATCTACTAAGTTCCACAAAAAATATGTCGTTTTAAATCAACACAATGAAACGGATCAACACGCATGTTTCGAAGAGCAATAACAAACAAAAGAATACGTGTATTCTGTTTAGCAAATGTTTGAATGTTGGGCTGAGTAGCTATGGTAACCCGGTTTCTGTTTAACAAGACAACGACTGTTCTTTGTATTTGATGTGACATCACTTTTTTAGTTGGTACCAACTATACCAACACGCGCAAATATTCGGAGAGTTTTATGAAAGTGACCCAATTCGTTTGGTTTTGATCAAGTAATATTGCTTTTAAATACAGTGGCGCCCCGGATGATGTCGCCAAAATAGCCCACCGTTGACCTGTCGCCGTTCGTTATTATGCGCACACGCTTCCAACGCCGGCTAATTCCCTTTACAATGACGTAAACATTTTTGGCGGGATTTTAGTGGTCTTTTGACCGAGTTTTTCGAAAAGATTTTGTTATAAGTTCAGTCTATGGTATCTGTCTATTTAGATTAAGTTTTTTGAGCGTTTACCCTAATTTCTCTATACATGCGTTTAGTATAGCACTAAGTTTACACTTTTAGCAACCTTAACTTTTTAACGCCACCTTAGTTTGCCGTCAACTAATTAAGCAAAATCTAAAACTTGAGATCCCGAAAATGTCCCTATTTTTTTCTGTTTTTTTTTCTATATATCACTAAGAACATGCATTAATTTCTTCATTACAATTTCACAGTTTTCTTTCCTATATTTGTAATTAAGAAGTGCAGAGAGATCATTATCGTGTGTTTAATCTATTTCCAATAAGTAACGCGATCATGAACGGAAGCTCACGCGGTCGGTCATCGCGTCTTCAAACAGTCGTATTTTGAACTTTAAACTCTAAAAATAAATCGTTGGTGACCCCGCGCGACTCAGGCGCAGTCTCGCTGACTTCTGAAAGGTCAAGCCACGCTCAACGTGTCGCGCCCTATTGTCTAAACAATAGTAAAATGGATAATTAATTGAAATACACAACATACATCGGCTGCAGTAGTGTAAAAACATCAAGGGAATACCGGTGCAGTGTCTGATAGTTTTTCAGTTTTCAGTGATAAACGCTTCGTGTTAACAAGATTTTTAAATGTTACGTGTGTTTATTCATTGTGCGGTTTGTTGCTGAAAAATGTTTTGGAAGTGCGTGCTGTAATTATTTATTTTTCACAGCGTATTATATGTAAGTACTTACATAGTAATATGTACCTACAGTTATTTTGTTAGTTACAATTTGACTCCTGAAGTTATTTTGTGTTATTAAACTCTATTTGAAATGTATACTGAGCGCTTTTGTCATTACAAACATTTAATTAGATAGGTACGCACTTTAATTAAAGGTTTTTTTAATGTCCATTAAAAAGTTAGCTTGTACAAATATCCAATTTATTGATTTATGAACATGTCAAACTGTCCATAGAATTATTAGGTTGGTAAGTGCATGCCACACTATGTTGTTGACAAAATTGTGCGAGTTAGCAAATAGATAGATTATCGGTAGGTACATTACAGTGCTTAAGTTTATTTTAGTCAGATAATGCTCCTAATGTGTGTAAAGAAATTGGAAAGATTTAATTAATTATAAACATTTTTTAACGGTAATCGTAGATAGAAAATCACCAACTCAATAATTGTACTTCAATAGCTAATGTAGCTAATAGTTTTGCATAACATTCCTATCAACATTGGCTTGCCTTCTATATTGATTTTTCCTGTATTTATCCCTCATTTGCTCCATTAATCTGATCGCCAATTTCTCAGGTATGGGCACGATTCCATACTTGGGCAGTTGGTCGAACTTGGGGGGAGGTCGCATGTCTTTATTTCCCATACTTCTCCTTCTCCAGTCTCGTATTACTTGGAAACGGTTTTGATGAGAGTTTTCAACCATGAAGGCGGCAGTAGACCTTGTTTCTTTCAGTTTTACATCGTTGCTCTGAGTCGTGGTGGTAGATGTTGAGGTAGTCGAAGTTGTGGACTTATGTGTTTCTGGTGGCGTCTGAGGTTGTGTTGGTGTCGATTGCTGAGGTAATGATGATGAAGAAGAGTATGTTGATGCTTGCTTGGTTGCCGTAGCATGCGGTGCAGACTGATTTGGGATTACAAACGGTACCGGGTAAGGTACTAAAAGTATGTTGTTTTGCATGGGACACTGCATGCAGAAGTCCATGCAGCATGGCTTTGGTTTAGGTTTCCTGCACTTTGCACAGCTACACCTGCATTCCCATTTGTAGTTGTTTTCTAAGTCTGAGTAATCAGAGTTGTACCTGTGGTACCTGTTCCTCTGCGAACGCAGCACCATGCTTTCGCTGCTAGAGTCCTCGTAGTTTGGGTAGTAATTGTGCTTCTCTTGTCCGTGGAAGTACTGGTGCGGGAAGTGAAAGTTTCTAATGCAGATACTCACTTGTATCAATAAGAAAAATAGTAAGGTCCCGCATGTCTGAAATGTACCAGGCTGTTAAATAAATAGGATACAGTATTAGTGAATTATATGAAGTTATTTAATTAAAGTTATATTATTGTTATTGAATTTGTTTAAATTCATACATTATTATATTGAGCCTTTGTTTTAGTCTATAAAAATTTTGCTGCTTGCGCTCACCGTTTTTACTCATCTCTGCATCACCCAAAGGTCAGACTGGTAGATAATGCCTACGGCATTAAGTCCGCCTATGTACAGAAATTTGTGTGCATAAAGCTTAATAAATAAATAAATAAATAAATAAATAAATAAAGTGAAATGATGTATCGACTAACTAACACTAAAGTTATCGACAAAGTCCAAAGGATTAGCAAACTGAAGTGGCAGTGGGCAGGTCACATCTGTCGAAGAACCGATGACCGCTGGGGTAAACGTGTTCTAGAGTGGAGACCACGTCTAGGCAAACGTAGTGTAGGGCATCCTCCAGCTAGGTGGACTGACGACATCCGCAGGGTGGCTGGCAGTGGTTGAATGAGAAGAGCTGAACATCGAGCTCAGTGCCGTGCAATTGAGGAGGCCTATTTCCAGCAGTGGACGACAATAGGCTGATGATGATGTATGTTTTCCTGGGTGGTTGGCATTAGTTAGGTACTTACCAAAGTCATAATTATTATAAAGTGGTTTTTCTTTTCCTGTAACTAGCAAGTTAACACTTATTCCTGTTTCTACCATTAAGTGGAATCGATTTTGTATTTGGAATTGTTTAAATGTTATATGCTAAAAAGGAAATCATTCCTAAAATATTGTCGCTATTACCTTTATGTGGAAATGATATAAAAAAAATTCGTACGTCGAGTACCTACAAAGCAATTCGGAAAATAGTAAAACTTTTTATTTTCAATATTTTATACTTTTATGTTCTGAACAATTTGTTAACACGTAAAAAAATAGTAAAGCTATTCTATAAAGTAATTTCCTTCACACTCAATAAATATTATCACGTAACATGAATGAGTGACTTGTAGAACTGAAGTGTTGGAATGGCCAGATTTTAGTGTTGGTCATGTACAGGCCTTTTCTGGGTGCGGATAGGATACCGAGCCTTGAGTTGTGACATAAGTTTCACGGCCATATCATCAGTGATGGGGACTATCCCGAATTTCGGCATCCATGTGGGCTTTGTCCGGCGCAGTGACGTCAGCATGTACTTGTTATTGCCATTCCTTAGCTTCTCCGGGGTCTTGACAATTATGTTTGTGTAATCGTCTACTACACTCTTGAGCACTGAATCCAGGACATTTTCGTTGTTCTGGGATTTTAGGTATGGTGGATTTAAGGGGTCAGAGCTGTAACTGCAGTTGGCGGTGGTCGTGCTCGTAGCTGCAGATGTGGTCGTTTCAATAGTGGTGGTGGGGGTTGTGGTGCTGGTGGTAGTGGTTTGGGCGGGAGTGGTGGTTGACTGTGTAGTAGACTCATGTGTCGTTTCGTGGTGCGCGAGCATTACAGTATGGTGGTTCGTGCTCTTCATCATTGGACTTGCCATCATCAGTGGGTATGGGAATGGCACGAACACTACGCTAGCCTGGCTCTGGCCACTCAGCCCAGTCGCCTGCTGCTGGTACATGTTGCTTGCACAGCTCCTACACACGTTATTGCAGCAAGGAGAGGGCGCTTGACATTTACTGCACGCGCAGTCACAGTTATCATAATCGTCAGTGTCATAGTCATGTGGATGCCCCTTTCTGTAGCGAAGGTGGTGATGATGATGAGAATGCTCTGCCCTGGATTCGTCTAGCTCGTGGGTGTCGCCCATTTCCTCGATAGAGTCCTCGAAGCTCGAATGCACATGGTTGAGGTTATAGATTAGATGGAGCAGTACAATCTGAAAACAAATGGGTTCTTTTAATAACTTTCAGCAAAGGCTTAAATTAAACAACAGCAAACTTTCGGTACTCAGCCAAACCATTGTAGTAACTGGAAAGGGATTTTTTTTTAATTAACTAATTAATCAAACTACAATTATCCAACTAATATTATAAACGCAAATGTAGTAGTTCTGCATATGAATATTTTTTAACACTTTCATGTTAAGAGTTCTGAATGGATGGATTGAGTATATTGTCAAATAATACAAAGCCTAATTTTTTCCGGCAACAGAAGCTAGTACCTACTCGTATCGACGATTTCATTGAAGACAACATCTCTAACTTTCTAAGAAGTTTCTAATAGGTTATGTAGTACCCAAGTTTACAAGCCGACTTATCAGATAACTCTATCACTGATTAATAATAAAATTCACAATAAGAAACTCGACCATACCAGTGTGACGTGGTCCAAGATCTTCATAATTCAAGTGAACGTTAGACTGAATTTCACTGAGTACTGCGCTAATTACTGACCAGCGATATTACACAAACGTTGTTCAGGTGGTCGATTGTTTTTTTTTTCACAAAGACATTGTTCGTTGTTACGTTAAATAAAGACTTTTTGGTCTTTTTCCTTTACTTCGTTATGACATACGTATTGTGTGTTGGCTGATACTTTTTATTACCTATTTGTTTGTTCTGTTATGAAAGAGTGTTAGAAGTTGATATGTGTATTTGATGCGATTTGATTATATTTGTGTTATTAAAGTAAATAGTTAAATATGTTACTTTTCCCATAAGTAGTATGTATATCATTATTAAAATTGAATTAATGATCAGACAATAAAAGTAAAGAAATATTGCAAAGAAAGGTTGACTTTGTTCTCCTAGTCTGTACCCATAGCGAACTGTTCTTTACAATTTTGTGTGACTTGTTTTAAAGCATTAATTACATAATAAATATTCTTGTTTTGCACGACTAATTTACTCAAACAAATGATTGACGTAAATAAATTAGTAAATTAAAAAATCGAAGAAAAAGTTCATGTTGACATTTTAAAAAGAAACGTTGAATATGAATAGTTGTTGACATTTCTATTTTAGAATATTTAAGCATTAGTTAGGTAGACTATCGTCACGCTAGGGCAACGGGAATGAAGGTGGACAGGTCACATCCTTACCGCATCTATTTCTGGTGTAGGCGTATATCGCCAACTGTTGTGGAACAGTGCCAGCGTTTGGTTATGAGACAAGATAACAAACAATAACTAATAATATTAAAATTATATTTTAATTATTTTTCAAATTTAACAATTATCTAAGCTTCTATCTTTCAACACTAATTGTGTTACGTCAGTTATGGAACATCTTTAAAGGTATTTTCTATGTTTCGTTGTTTACAAAAAAGTTATTAGATGACAGGATTTTTAACTCAGTGTGAATGGTTATTTTACAAATATACAATATCACACACACATCATTCGTAGACCTGGGTCAATAATATATTTGTTCCGCGTCTGAATAGTACTCGCGATATAGCCACGGTACCTGGTTGCCCAGCCTCCCCGTTCACAAGGTAAATAATGAGTGCATATGAAGCTTACATAAAAGACAAATGCAGTATGCTGTATTTGTACTATGTAAGAACTGTATGTCCTGAAAACGATTACAGATAAGTGAAATAACTACACCTGCTAGTTAGAACGTTAATGCATATAGATGCATCGCGTATTCGAGCCAAATCCGATATTGAAGTACCTCACTATGATTAGGTGCACTTCCGCACTATGACCTATCCGAGTCCGAACCTAAACCGCTAATACAGATCTTGAAGAATCAGACATCTTCGGATTTTCCTTGAAAGGAATCGGATGACAGATTTAGTGTGTAAACTACCATATATTATATATGATTTGTTATTTAAATGCCATAGCCGCCCCGTTTTATTCTAATGACACAAATCTAGCCCTGGATGATATAAGGATTTCAACGACATTCTAATATATATCTCTTATTCTGCCCAGGGGTTCGGATGTGACAGTGGAACAAAGAAACTCACATACATACATCAACCCTGAAAACATAACACTCCTTTTTTGGGCAGTCGTGTAATAATGGACAATAATATATTTTCACGGGTCCGAATCGGATACGGATCGGAAGTAGTATGGAATGGCTCTTATAGAAGTCATTGGTAACTAAACTGCTGAATGGGGAAGTAGGCAGAGACGCTGATTTTCATTACTTAATTAGTTTTTTTGAACGCAAAAGAATACCAATTATTAAAATTGTTTAACAGGCCTCTGGGAGTTGTCTTCAGCTCCTCGTACGCCGTCCAAAGGTATGGGACCCTGTGGTCCCGTGAATAGATAGGTTCATGATATGTGAAAACCGTGAGTGGGAATCTCTTCGGGAATCAATCTAGTAAATAGGTGTTTAGATAAAGGATAAGATGTACTTGCTTAGGTATTGTTTTTTTTTAAATTTTGTTATTTTTGGACAACAAAAAACTATACTAATATCATAAAGAGGTAAAATTTGTAAGTTTGTATGTAGGGGGTAATCTTTGGAACCACTGGTCATATTGCCAAAATTCTTTCACTGATACTACAATGCAATACGATAGCTACAATGTTCCTGAGTGATAAAGGCCATAAAACATCACGCTACGATTAAATGGAGCCGAGCAGAGGGTGAAACCGCGTGAGAGAAGCTATTATTAAATACAAGTAACAATGATGTGTGCAACAGTTGTAGTGACTACTTTAAATATTTTTGCAGAAGATTACTTTCATACAATAGTTTTTTGAATTATTTAATTTAACCAATAACAAAACACCAAAACTGAATGTAGGAAAATAGTTCAATAAGACACAGCACAAAATCGTAGTCTTACGTATTTTCGGGTAGCAGTGCACGGTGCGCGTGTGTGCGTGTGTGCGTGTGCGCAGGGCGTCGGGTCACGACCTCGTCTCGCCGGAATTAGCTCGTGACGTCACAGCCAGGTGCCTGCCAACTGCCAGTACACACACGACGACGTAGATGACAAGTCCAAATATACTCGATGTGCCTACAGCTTCCACAGAACACTGATTAAGCCACATCTGGTAAGGTTCGGAGCCCACTTGATACTTGCTAAGAGGTTTATTAATATGGTATAAATATTTGTGAGCTTTATTATATATAGTGTAGAGTAATATAGAGATTATGTATGGAAAGCGTTAATGGATATAATTGAGTAGGTAGCTGAATGGTATTTAGATATAAAATTTTATTGAACAAATAAGTGTGTACCATCGAATATAATCTTTATATCTGTATTTTTATTTGGAAAAAGCTTTCAGTAATTTTATAAGAGCTACTAGTGAAGCATACCAAACAAATCACCGATTCAAGACCCCATTATTTAGTGGTAACTTCGCAAAACAGAAGCAGGTGTTCTTACTGTTTATATTCTAAAACAAATAAACAACATTATTAACATTATTAAATGTTAATAAAAAAGAGGTAATGAAGGAACTTCTCTTCATTCCCTCCATTCCTCTCATTAGATCTAAAGACTGTGAAATTGCTTTTGTTTCTTCTTTCTGTTCTACCCTTTGGAACGAGCAAATAGCTTCACTAAGAGGACTGACCGACAGACTGAAACTATATCTTCAAAACTTAGTTTGACGTTCAAAACTGCCTGTAAAAGTCTAATTGGAATAAATGATTTTTGACTTTTGACTTGACTTTTGTTTTATGGAATAGTAGGCAAACGAACAGACGCATCACCTGATGTTCAGTTATCAGCGCCGACCATGGACACCTGCAACACCAGAGGAGAGAGAGACACAGGTGTGGAAAAGAATTGAAGGTTTGAAGGTCGAATGGGTCCGGACATATCGCCTACCGCCGCCAAGATCATTCCAAAGTTTTGCTGTGCAAGACTAAAAGTTTCGCGAAAATCGCGCTGCTGTTGACTGCCGACCGTCTCATCATCATCATATCAGCCATAGGACGTCCACGCTGAACATAGGCCTCCCCCATTGACTTCCAGATAGGCCGGTTGGAAGCGACCTGCATCCAGCGGCTTCCTGCGACCTTAATCAGGTCGTCTGTCCACCTTGCGGGTGGACGTCCTACGCTGCGCTTGCCGGTACGTGGCCTCCACTCGAGAACCTTTCTGCCCCAGCGGCCGTCGGTTCTACGCGCTATGTGCCCTGCCCATTGCCACTTCAACTTACTAATCCGCTGGGCTATGTCGGAAACCTTTGTTCGTTTGCGGACATCCTCGTTTTTTATACGGTCTCGCAAAGAAACTCCGAGCATAGCCCTCTCCATAGCGTCTATATGATGGGAATGATAATGTTTTCGCGTAGGTTGATGGCGAAAGGATACACCCGGTATTTAATCGAACAATTCCTTGGAATACTCCCCGTGGTAATGGCGATATAGGACACATAGCATATCATGTTTCTTTCTCTTTCTATCGAAGTACACCTCAATACTCGAAGGGTGCACTTGAGCGCTGCAAATAACGTTATCAACTGATTTTCCTTAGAACTGATATGTGTTTCCTTTGTCCGTAGATGTGTGTGTCATATCGGTTCTTATCTATTGTCTACATGACCGGTCGTGACTTGACGAGGTTTATTGCTGCACGTTATTGGCGGTACTTACCGTACAAATACAAACGAATGTTGTATTGGATATGTTTGCTAAGATTAATATACTAGACAAGGTAATATAAGGACAGCTATATGGATATGTAGGTTGACTATTGCTGAAACATATACCTATATACTTTGATTATAATAAGACAAAATCATTTTAATCTACCTGATTCTAAAATCAGAGTTCTTGTTCACCACAAATGGGGCCTAGGTGGGCCGATGTTTAGACAAAGTCGCGGGACAAGCACAATAAGGTACCGCGGCCTCGGCCTAGAGCATTAGAAGAGAATGAGGGTTTTTAGTCTGCAAGAGTCTGGCACTCTCTCTCGCCATGCATACTAGGCGCGAGAAGTCATTTGATGATTTTCCCTCCTCGAAAAAAGGGTAGTTTCATTCAAGTTCTATGTAATAGAATGTCATGACAAGGCTGCAGCCTTGTATTTAGTCTTGTACTTATGTATATTTATTTATACTTCATGAATAGGAACAAAATTCGTTTAAAAAAACCCGTATTTTTCATGCACCGATTATAAATTAATAATACTTTATAGTTCATCTTGTATTTGTTAATTATAAGTTAAACATATTTCAATTAAAACATGTACATATCTATTATAATGTAGGTACATGAACTTTGGCAGAGTTCAGGTAAGAATTAATTACATTTGTATGTGAATTACCGCTCGAGTAGGCAGCTGATAAGAAACTCCTTCGTCACTTTTTTGATAATTGTGCAAAACAAGGCGTGAAATTAACACAAACATGTATTTTTGGTACCTAGCAAAATGTTTTAGAGAATTATCTGGCATTTTATTTCAGGGGATAAAACCCATTTTATAAGTTTATATAGATAAGCTTTAGTATCCTATAACTATATTCTTCGTGTGAAATGGTGCCTATGTCCAACCACCCCTACAAAAAAATAAGTTTAAGTGTGGGAGAACCATGTTTCGGCACGAATGGGTCGGCTCGACCGGAGTGATACCTTGGCCTCACAGAAAACGGGCGTGAAATAACCACAGCATTGTGTTTCGCCGTGTGAGTGAGGTTACCGGAGGCTCAATCTTTCCCCTACCCCGATCCCTCCCCAATTCCTTAATCTCCAAAACCCGGCAACGCACTCGTAATTCCTCCGCTGCGGGTGATCATGGACGGCGCTTACCATCAGGTAATCCGTAGGCTCGTTTGCCGACCTATAATATAAAAATTAAGTTTATAGAAGAGCCTGATATATCACTTTTACGGAAATGCTAGACTCCGTAATCAATGTGATTTTGCAAATTAAATAGGTAGTACACTTATCTTCAGAGTTCTTTCATATTGAAGGTCTTGCGCTCGACATTCGAGCTTGTACTGGAGCAGTTAAGAAGTATGACGAATTGATAGGTTTCATGACCTCTGCAAAATTTTAGGGGTGACAGGCGTTTTGTTTGTGTATACTGTGTATTTATCGGAGTCGGGGCAAATGTCACATTTTATAATAAAACAATACTTTTGTAAAATCACACGCACCTGTGCCAATATTAAACGAGTTAATGAACTACGATACATGTTTGCATATGCAAAAATAAATCGAATGCATTGCTGACTATTATTAATTTATTTATTTACATTATGTAGTATTACGGCTTCTGATATTTTTTTAAATCATTATTAAACTTAAAGCCATTATTTACTAGTTTTGCTTCACTTCACATTAAAATTGCGTTATTTTTTTGGGGAATAGACTGACTAGCTTATCTTGTGTGTCAATATTTTTTGCTGCATCCACGCGAAAGTTATAGGAAAGAATAGTTTAGGGGGAGGGGGAGGATTGGGCCTTCTGTATTCATAGCTGTCCTGTGTATTTAATCTTGGAACTTCAGATCAGTGTACCAGTAGAGCATAAGATTAGCGAAGCAATTATCCGGACCCAATAAAGATGTAAAACACAACACCTAGATGTATTATCAGACACATAAGTGTTTGTACCATGGCACATTGATGACACCGTTTCAACTAGAGTACAGTCAGAAGGTTAAGAGCCCGTTATCAAATGTTATCAGTCGTACCTTGGTGACGCCCCATTTGTTCGTTTGACCTGACACAAGTTATCAGTTTCACGGCGATAACCGCACCACCGTCACGGTCTACCTGTTGTTATATTCCAACTCTTGTTTTTAAATTGTTTTTCTTTTTACAACAAATTTTCCGACAATCCTTTTTATACTTTTTTGAAGTTGGACGGTTTCTTTCTGTTGTGGTATTTGGAAGTGGTTCATAGTTTTTTCTAAAGTGTTATATATATATATGTATTCTATAGTTGTATTGTGTAAAGGTTATGTGAACTATTGAACGTTTGACTTGTGTGATCCGAAGTCGGTGTGGGATTTCAGTTGGAGGTAAACGATAAACTGTGTTCTTGTATGTGTTTAGTTGTTTACATAAGCAGATAATATATGTATATGCAAGTTTTGATTTCGATACACCGAAGCCATTTGAGTATGTCTGTCCGTTTCCCAATGAAATATTCACGCGTTATTTGCGTGTCATCTAAAAGGCATTGACAAGAATGACTATGAGTTTTCCTGATTTCTTTATAGAAAAGTTGTTTTTTATTTGGTTGAGTTTTTGTAACAGATACGTATTTGTAAACAACAGAAATTGTTTAATACATCTGTCATATTTTGTAATCGCGTTTTTTCATCATTATCAACTGACTTCTTCCGCTCAGTGTGGGTTGAGAGGGAGTGTCAGACTCTTACTGACTAAACCCCCCCCCACCCTGTTTCTTCTTGGCCGGTGTCGCAGTGTCTTATTGCGCTTGCCCCGCAACGATATTTTGTAATCGCTCTCAGTGCTGAGCGTAACTGATATAGGGTTTCCATCCCGTGAAAATATGATTAAAAAAAGCTATGTTTTTGATCAACATACTGTAAACGTTATAATTAATTGTCTAGCAATTTCTGTTTCTTGGTATAAAGGAAATTGACGTTTAATGACAAGACTGGAGAGTTTGTTTTGTTTTGTTATCGATAAAGTAATTCGATGAATCCGAATATTTTGCATACATAACAAATCCTTGTCATAACCGATCTGAATTAAAAAGTGTGTGATAACAATGAAACATGATGCAATTAGTAGCTCAATTGTTTTTTCATCGAAAGCCCTTTTATATATATTTATTACTAGCGGCCCGCCCCCGCTTCGCACGGGTCTAACAATCTTGCTTTTCATTTTCACGGGTCACTTTTTCCTAAACTTCCCCTCTACTTTTCTAATATTTCTATAAGAAACTTCTCCTGACAATAACAAATACAACAAATAAAGAATTAGCAAAATTGGTCCAGACGTTGTTGAGTTATGCGCTTACCAACACATTTTGCGATCCATTTTTATATACATATAAGATTTATGTACGTAATCGTGCAGACAAATTGGTCCGTCGATCTTCTCAGTTAAGACGTCTGCTTCTCATGCAGGTCCAAGTTCGAAACCTCGCAAGTACCAATGTGACTTTTCTGAGTTATACATCTTACTGTGGTCTAGATACACTACTGACAAACGGTGAGGTAACCTGTACTTATATTTCTAATTATAAGTTCAAAATCGGCAATCCGTATTGATGTGCGCGCTTGATAAGCATGGTGATTAATGCTCAATCCTTTTCTATGTGAGAAGAGGCCTTTGCTCAGCAGTGGGCACTTATAGGCTAAAGATGATGATGATTGCTGCACACACTTATAACACACAGGACAACACATTTATACAATTATGGCATACACGTAGCTGCTAAATTTTTGTATTGGAATTTCGCCCTTTTGACCTATAACAGGTTATAATATGCTAGATATATTTTCAGTATCTTTGGTAGTCTTTGCTTATTAGTTCGTCATTCAAGCTTTCTGTCCTGATCTTGTACCACTTACATTTTTTTGTTACCTCATCTTACCCTTTAAATACTGTTGTTGGTAGCTATAATAGGTATTTATTTTCTTCCTCTAATGCCATCTTCAACGGATTTGAAAAGCAAACATAGCTAAGTTCAAACACACATGAACTTGTTTGAAAAGGCGTAAGTACATATGTAGTGTTCCTTACGCATGTAATTACAGTGATTAAACAAAAGTAGGACAATTACTTTTAAATATCAATTTTTAGATATATCATTAGACTTTGTACTGAATTATATTTTCAGCAATTCATGTTCAGTTGAGTCTTTCAGGTAGAGGTCACGGCAGGAATTTATAAATACAATCTTATTTCTTCAAGGCTATTTTGGACTTTAATGTCAAGAAAATATTATCTAAAGTATTTCGTTATCATATTGAACTGCTGTTATGACGAATTCTGAATAATTTGTCGTGTTATTACAATAAACAATGTTGGTAGAACACTCCAGACGTATTTTATATAGCAATGAAGCATTTAACTTGAACTTATTAGTCTTTGAAATTAGAAGGCGCTATGCAATTGTTAAAAAGTATTTGTAACTTAGATTTGCCGTGGCAACAGTACATATATACCCTAATGTTTTAGGTATTATTAACTAAAATGCAAAAGAAAATATGCTACTCACTAATACATGTAACTTTAAGATGTATTTTTATAAAGAATAAAGGCTATTTTTACATAAAGAAAAGCATAAAGCAAAAAATATATTGTCTTACAAAAACATTCAAAATTTAATTTTTTATGTGTAATTCCTCGAAAAAGGTTTCTATCCCCTTGTTGATTAAAAATAAATCTTGCAAGCTACTTAAGCACACGACAATCTTATTTAAAAGTCAATTTCTGCCTTTATCACAATGGCAAACCTATAAATATCTATACTCTACACTAATATTATAAAGAGGTAAAATTTGTAAGTTTGTATGTAGGGGGGTAATCTGGATTGCCAAATTTCTTTCACTGATAGATAGCTACAATGTTCCTGAGTGCTATGGGCTATAAAACATCACGCTACGATCTAATGTAGTCGAGCAGCGAATGAAACCCCGCGAGAGTAGCTAGTATGTACATATGTATGCATGTATTGATGTAAAAATGTGATTGATCATACTCGTCAGACGGTGTGATAGTGTTATCACGGTGCACACAGAATAAGTGTTGCATTATCGCGCTCATTGACGTACACACGTAAGGCCGGGATGTACCTGGCTGGTTTATCGATATACTACAATATGCATTCTTTAACGAATGATATGGTTTTAATATGCAATTAATTAGAGATAAATCTAGCGAGAAACTACAAAGATCATCATCATCAGCATAAGCGCCCACTGCTGAGCAAAGGCCTCTTCTCATACGGAGAAGGTTAGAGCATTAATCACCACGCTTGCTCAATGCGGGTTGGCGATTTCAAACTTATAATTAGAAATTATAAGTCCAGGTTTCCTCACGATGTTTACCTTCACCGTATGTCAGCGGTGTCTAAATAATCATAGAAAATACATATAACTCGGAAAAAGCCACATTGGTACTTGCCAGGTTTCGAACCCACATCTTCATGCATGAGAAGCGGGCTGCTTAACTTACGGGCCACCACGACATTTTTACACTACAAAGATACATAGAATAAGAAGTTTAAGCTCAGTTCAGCTGACCTGATACAACGCTATGTTTTACCGTATCAGTGAGGTTGTGTGCGTAGAGGTTGTTTATAGAAGCTACACCATATTTTCAGCACCCCCAAGTCTCTAACAACCTAAAACACTCACTTTTCATCAAAACTACCTTTGACTGTAGAGTAGGCGCGATGGGTGGGCAACTGGCTGCCACGCAAGGTGTCGCGGGTTCGATTCCCGCACGGATCAATTCTTTGTGTGATTTGCAAATTGTTGTTCCGGGTCTGGGTGTGATGTGTTTGTGAAATTTTATGTTTGTACCCACGACATAGGAGAAAGCCATATTGTGGTGCAACGTTTTTTATATAAAAAAGGCTATTAACGCACTTTTTTATGTAGTAGGTCGGCAAACAAGCAGACGGTTTACCTGATAGTAAGCAAACAACGCCGCCCATGGACACCCGCAACAGAGCAGCTTTTTCGGATTAGGGATTTGGAGATTTAGGGATGGGGGGTGGGGTAGGTAGAATTTCGCCTCCGGTAACCTGAGTAACCTCACTGTTTGACGCCGGTTTTCTGCGAGGCCATGGTATCACTACGGTCGAGCCGACCCATTCATGCCGAAGCACAGCTCTCCCATGCTTGTAACTCTTTGGGTATAAAGAGTTCCTATGGGCGGCGCCGATTCCTAAAGTTAGCTCGTTTGCCGACCTAACCCAAAAAAAAAATATAAGATTTATTATGTATAACAGAACGTATTTGTTTGTTTCAGTGACGTCGCGGGCGATCGCGTATTTATCTAAAGTGCGATTTATATTTATGTAAAATGGAGGCAATCCAGTCAAGTGTTCAATCACCGAAAGTGAAGAGTAGTGAAGAAATGAGTGAAGTGAAAAGTGAAGTGTTGGTGAAACTGGAGGATGATGGGGATGAAGTGATGAGTAAGGGAAGTCAGCGGGAGAACAGGCTGACCAGCATCATTGATCAACTGCGGTGCCAGAGCAAGCTGAAAGGTAATCACTAATTAATAATTATCTCCTTTCAGTTTCATCAAATCTTGTTATCATAAGACGTCAAGGCGTGAAAGTCAATCTTATTGATTTGACTGCTAAGTTTTCAAATGTTTAATTCATCAAACTCCAGGCGAACGCCGGCGTTCACGCTTCTATTGTTCTTCCATTGTGTCTCGAATGACCACGATAGAAAGGTCTGATTACCAAAAGTAAAGATTTTTATTTCAAATAATGTATTAGTAGGTATAACCATTTTTTTTAAAGTCGCTTCACACTTCCAGAATACTCCACATACGCTATGCAACAGGTTGAATGCTAAAGTCTGCCACATAAACAACTCTAGGTCTTCAACCGTGACGAGAACAAACCTAACCTTTGTGATGTTATCGAGTTGATGTAAATCGCTGAGTAGATTTATAAAAGTAATTATATAAGACAAAGGGCACGCGTACGGTTCGCCACAATTAGTGGCATCGGCGGTGTACGACTTAAATCTTAAACAATAGCGCTGATTACTGATATGGTATCGCCGCATCTGTGTTTCAAACTGCTCTGAATTAGTTTGGTTAAGGCCCGGCTGCCGGTAGGCTCTGATTATGATGTGGGCCGCCGGGAAATGTTTTTAATCATACTTGTTTTACTTTTATATATGTATACCTAACTTTTCTGTTGTAAGTTGTTGCTTTAATTATATAATAATTAGTGTTTATTAATTAAAGTAGTAGTAATTTGCTCGTTTTAAGTTGTCTAGAATGGTCCTTTTTTGAGTTTGTCAGGTGCGGTTGTGGATCACTTCTATGCGAGTAGTGATGGCAAAACTTATGGTTTTTTTAAAGTGAGATGCAAGCTCTTATTATTATTTTTTCTTGGAAATGACCAAGACATCTAGAAACGTCGTTTCCTGATACAATTTTAGATTTTTTTTTGCAATGAATTAATCACCTCTAACTACTTATTCGTCGTGGTGGCTCGGAGGTAGAGGAGCCCGCTTCTCATGCATTAGGGTGTGGGTTCGAAACCTGGCAAGCACCAATGTGACTTTTTACGAGTTATATGTACCTTCTATGATTATGTAGACACCACTGACATACGGTGAAGGTAAACATCGTGAGGCAACCTGGACTTATAATTTCTAATTATAAGTTGGAAATCGCCAACCCGCATTGAGCAAGCGTGGTAATTAATGCTCTAACCTTCTCCGTATGAGAAGAGGCCTTTGCTCAGCAGTGGGCACTTATAGGCTGATGATGAACTACTTATTATTCCTTCTGTCTCATTCTATCGAATCTAGGAGATAGTAGAATGAATGTGATATATATTTAGGCGAGTCGTTAAATTGTAACACAATTAGTGTATTTTCCCCTGTTCGTACAGTAGGAGGCGTTGGCCGTCTCTTTAACTAGCGCCAGAAGTGTAGCACGCCGCGCGTGTCAAACGCAGGGTTGTCTGTAAACAGTTTTTGTTTTCAGTGAAAAGTCGTAACAGATTTTTTAAAATATATCATACAGTGTCATATGTCAGTTTTCGGTAGGTGACCTGTAAAATATATTTGGAGCAAGTCTTAAATAAACTGCGTTACTTACCCACTAATATTAATTAGCGGTCAGTTAATACAAAGTATTAATACGTCGTTTAGAATCTTAATTATTATCATAACGAGATATGTCGGTGTTTTCCTTTGTACAGGTATTATTGTAAGTCACACAAAGGTTCACAAGCAGGTTGTGTGTCAACCCTATTCATTGCTCTACAATCTGAGCGACGGTGCTGCCACCGGCGCGCGCGCAATGCTCCTGAACTAATCAGCGCAATCATCTCACTGGGTCTATTAATGATCATTTGTCTTGTTTTTTGTCATTACACAAGTTGAATATATGTAATTTAGCGAATAATTGAATGTTACAATACTATGTGGCTGATGAGTAGCTTTTGTATGCAGCAGTATAAATTAAAATATCAAGGCAGTCATTACTCTATTGCGGGTGAAACGAAGTTGAGGCGTCTGAAATTACAGATATACTTATGAAACGCCTCAATGTTGTCCAGCTCGGATCCTTATTCGAGCCGATGGAAGTATTTATTTTGATGTTGGTCAAGCAAAGCTATGATCGATTTGTCCATATTTTCTAACGACATTCGCTCCAAGATAAGATATTCTCCTTAAAATGTCCGCAAACTTTCACATAAAACGGTTTAAAACAGAAGCGGTATTGCAAGTCGGCCTAATTAATCCATCGGTTAGGGGTCGTTTAGTTAATGAATGAATAAATCGCCGTCAACCCCCTCCCCGCGGCCCGCCTCCCCCCAACCAGATAACGTTAATCGGCGCTCTCGATTTATGTACCTTCCGCGCTAAAATACGGCAAATGGTACTCAACTGCGACCACATCTTGAAAAAAATATCCTCTCCTGATTTTCAGGGAAACGTAAACTGTATGATTATATAGTAAGGTTGGTTTTTGCTCGTGTGCTTGTCTGGCGATAATTTCTATCGGTCGTGAGCAAATATAGAGAGCAAGCGCAGTGATGTATAGACGGCGCGCGCGCAGCTATCGCCGCAGCGTAAACCTGACATAGATGAGATAGGACGCAGACTGTTACATCGACATGTGTTATTTAAGTAAATGGACTTACGTGATTTAATTAATCTACAAATTTAACTAGTAGGCTATTTTCTGAAGGATAGTTTAAGATTATCTTTGGTTTAATGATCGTTAGTCTGAGTAACGCGAATGAGGCTTCAGTGAATCTCGGTTCGACAAAGATTGTAATAATTACCCAATAAATGACATTTATTTATATTTTTAAGCTTTATAAAATATATACTAGTCAGACCAGGTGATGCGGAGAAGAATAAATCCATGATGCAAGGAAGAAACAAGGAATTTTACCGATGAAAGAAATTTACATTTTTATAAATATTTATAATTATTATATTTAATCTTAACTTGTTGCAAATGTTAAGCATCCGATAGCATTTGTTAAATATACCTCCGAGGAAAATGGCCAAAAATGTTACTCTTAATTCTGTACCACATTGAACTGGCTTGTCCTTTGTCACTAAATGGGAGATTGCGACCAGAAGGCATACTGCTTGGCCAGAGGGTATAAGAAGTAGAAGAAAATGCTCTTCTTATTAACAAAAGAAGAAGTATCATTGAATGATACTACTTCTTTTAAGTGATTTGTGTATGATTTCCGAGTTTCCTGCCAGATGTACTATGGAAGGTCTCTTTTCACAGTAAACCTTGGTTCAGCAGTGTTTATCCAAGGGGATACTAGCAAGGGCCAATGATGATCAGGTCACAACTAGTACTTGTTTCCCTGTCACTTGAGGTTGAACAAATCACATCGATGTATTCTATGAGTGCAATTGATAACATTGTAATGATTAGTCAATTTGCTTATCAAAATTGACGTATGCGCGACAACGAACGATTGTGAGAATTCGTTGTTCTTTTTTGTAATAATTCTGCATTCCTTAGTTAGCTATATCCTATTGATTTTTATATTCATAGATAACTATTGTATGTTAGAGTCAGGTAATTTGGAAATTCACAATTAATTATTTGAACAGTTTTGAAATATTTTCAAAATCTGTACTTCAGAAGACTTCACCTGAATCAGACACAGCCATAGTGGTTCTTAAATAGTTTCAATAACAACATTCCCATTTTGAAAAGAAATAAATAAATCTAAAAAAAAAAAAAATTCTATAGAAACTGTAAAGATAACAAATCTAGTATTTCTGCGTAGAATGGAATAGTCTTTGCGGCAGGTCGCGTGCGCAAGCGCCGTTACCGAGCGCCTGCAAATTTATAATGATCGATATTCGCCGGACCAATGGACCTTGCTCTGGTTACGAGGGTCGCGAGTTCCTGGCTTTGGTCGGGATTCTTTTGTCTAGGAAACAAGCATTATTGATTCCTGACTATGATTTAAGGAATTTCAATTTTCTTAAAGTCAAAATCGTTTTCAATTAGACCATAACACTCACTTTTGAACGTCAAACAAAGCTTAAAGATGAAAATTGTCAGTCTGTCGGTCAGTCCTCTTAGTGAAGTTATTTGCTTGTTCCAAAGTGTAGATTCCGATGGAGAAGAACGAGCAAGAAACTCCATGGTTAAATTTTATGTCTTCTTATTTTGAAAATTAAATGACATTTTGTATTTAAATTTTACTTCGCGCCATAAAAATAAAATAATGTCGATGGTAAAAATCGTATTGGCATTTTTCACGAATTTTTCAAATCTACAAAACGAAAGTACCAGGGTTGCATAAAGGTGCAAAACGTATTTTTTTTATTTATTACATCGTCGTGGTCGTTCGGTACACCGAGGCTGTAAGACGTTAGACCACTGCTGCTAATCAGTGCGCGGCAATCCTTATGAGATGGTCTAATTATTCGTTACTAGGGTTGTCCCTTTCACGAACAGGTCATTAAGGTATCAAAGTCAAAGTGTGATTAATCGTCATCACTTTCTTTTCAATTCCAAGGTGGAGCATAAATGTTTCAAAACCCGGTGTTTGAATGTTAGTCACGCAACAATTAATTTTATTTTAAAAGTTTATTTGATTGTCAAATCACACGCTTTAAATTTGAGTTTTACTGCATCTCGAAATTTAGTCTTTTTTGTTCTTCTAGTATCTATGCGAATATCATATAACTAGGAACAGCATTCTGCTCACTATAGCACACTCAATATTTCGTGCACTTTCTATACTAAAATAATTAAATAGCATAATTAATATACCTATAGTTAAAATTCTACATCATTGTGTCAGAAAATTGCTGCCAGTTTTACGCAAAACCATTCCATACACTGCTATCAATTCGACCTTAAGGATCTCGTCGTTTCATTTACATTTAAATCGATTGATCATTATGTCTAGTTTCTCGAATATAGGAAAAGTCGGCAGCCCTATACGGTCTGTACAATGGTATCTTTGCGATCTTTACTTAAGTAAATTAATTTGCCTCACCTCATACGATGAGAGAT